GATCGCCACAACGAAGGCAGTTTTCTAACACAGAAGGGAGAAAGAAGAAGTTACCAGAGGCTTGAATGGAGGTCCCATAATAGTGGCTAATACACTATTAAAGCCCCTTAAAGGAAACAACTCTTTTACCGGTGGGTGCAGATGAGTGACTCCTTTCAAGAAACTCACTGCCATGGAGTTTGAAAACACTGATTTCCTTTGAATGGGTCAATGAAATGCCAAAATCACCAGCAGGTGGACTCTTACTGAACTAAGTGCAAGATCAGCAGACTGAAGGTGTAACACGTACTCCAAGATGTCCTGGATACAAGCCAGACTCAGTTGAACTCATCATGCTAATAACCATACCAAGAACCGCTTTCATTTGGGTGAACAGACTGCCCTGGTGGAGAAAAAGCATACAGGAATGCCAACTCCCACCTCAGGTGGAAAGCATCGGTCAAGGAATGTGCACACTCCAAAATCAGGATCTGATCAGGCTCTGGCAGTTTTGCATCAGGGCAAACATTACCCCTGTGGCTGGTCCCTTACTTGGGATCCAGAATCACCTGGCAGATCACCTCAGCAGAAATTTCTCTGTGAATCATGAGTGGTCTCTGAAGTGCAGAGTCTTGTGGTCCATTTTTGGAGTTTGGGCCATTCCAACAATCAACCTGTCCGCCGTGAGAGGGAACAAGAAATGGTGGTTGTTTTGCTCCCAGTGGGGTCTCAGTCCAGACTCAAAGGCGCAGCCTGGCATTTTGGAATACCTGTGTCCATGCAGCCATATGGCCTAGCAACCTCAGTCATACTTGGGCTGTGGCTGAGGGTTCAGACTGTCGCTCCAGACATAAGTGATTAATCACCTGGAATCGCTTGGTCAACAGAAACACTCTCAAACTCACAGAATCTATCGGGGTCCCAATTAACTTGCTTCTTTGAGTTGGAACCAATGTTAATTTTGTGCTATTTTTGATGAGACCTAGATGATCAAGTAGGCATAGTGTGAAGTGAACATGACGTAGGACTTTCCCTCTGGACTTGCCCCTCAGTAACCCAGAGTCCAGATATGGAATGATGTGAATTCCCTTCTTTCTGAGGTACGCTGTTACTGAAGAGCAGAAGCTGAGAAGGAGAAGACATGCTGAAAGGCAGTACAACATACTGGTAGTGCTGGCCAGCTATGACAAATGTGAGGAACCTCCTGTGGCTTGGGAGGATTGCTATATGGAAATAAGCATCCTGCAGGTCCAGGGCAGTAAACCAGTCATTGTGATTCAAGGTAGGGAGTTGGCAGGGTAACCTTATGGAATTTCACATAACTGATGTATTTGTTGAAATTGCAGAAGTGGAGGACAGGTCATATAACTCAGATTTGGGGACCAGGAAATACTGATGCTGCAGAGGAACCTCCTCTTTGGCCTCCAAGCCAGTAGAGACTGAACCTGCTCAAGGAGCAGTGTCTTCTGAGAGAAGTCCCTGAAAAGGGATGTGTTGTGGTGGTGTTGGGGGGTGGGGGTGGGTTTGGGAGGAGAAATGCAGAGGAACTGTATGGCAAGACCTGACCATCAAACAGTAAGTCCTCAGTGATCTGCTGCACATGGGACACAATGCCTGAGTCCTGAAGCCGTAAGGCCTTTCTCATGGCCTTTCTCAGAGCTGCCTGCAAGGAAGTCTTGGCCATCACACAGACTTCCCCAATGAATGCCATAAACTCTTAACGTGAGGGTTTTGGCAACTTCTCTGTGAACTTAGACAAGACTGTCCAATTGACAAAGTCATACTTATAGAGCAACACCTGCTGGTTCATGATGTGAATTTGCAGGGAAGAGGAGGTATAAATCTTTCTCCACACCAAGTCCATCCTCTTGGACTCTTTGTTCTTGGGTGTGAATTTACACCTACCCTGCCCAGCCCTGTCATTTGCTGCAGTTACCACCAGCAAGTTGGGGGCCAGGTAGGAGCTGAAACCCTCATACCCTTGCATGGGAATGAAGTACCATTTCTCTGAACACTTCACCATAGGGTACAATGAAGCTGAGGTGTTCCAGATGGCCTTTGCAGGCTCCAACGGAGCTTCATTTATCGGCAGGGCTATTCTTCCTAGAGTTGATGATTGGAGAATATCCAGCAGCTATGTGTATTTTCCTGCAGGAGTTATGCCTGCATACCTAAGGAAGCAGCCATATGCCTCAGAAGGTCCTAATATGCCTTAAAAGGGGGAAAAAAGGATTCCCACATGGTAGAGTTGTCTGAAGAGTATGAGGAGGTGGTTTGCTGTGCTAATGATTGGTCCTGGTCTTGCATCACAGGATCCAGTTGGAATAACCCTCAAGGTCCAGAGGGAATGAACTCAGTGGTTGCATGCGGCAAAGATGGTTTGCGAATGGGAGTCACCACCAGGACTGGTGATCTCGTTCTAGAGCAGGTCGAGAAGCATCCCAAGGAGGCCACTGGGCATACAGATAAGGCTTTGGTGGCCAAAAGGTACTAGGCCCAGAGCCCTTATCCTGACCGCAGGACAGATGCCATTCTCGGTACTGATGGTGATCCGAGGGCACTCTCTAGTGTCTAACAAGAAGGGAAAGGACAATCCTGACCTGGATCTTGAGAAGTCCAGGAGGTCCTTTTGTGACAATGGGGGAACCAGTCCCGATGAGGCAAACAACTTGGGGCCTCGATGCTGAAGAGAAATGGGAATCAGCACAAGTGGTACCAAATGAGACCTACTTCCACCTGGCACCAGAAGAGGCATTGGCTTGGAGACCGTCAATGCCAGTGCCAACGTCATTAGTACCAGACTCAACACATGCATTGTGGTCGGAATCAGAATTGATGGTACGGGCTGTCACTGTATTTGGTGTGGTACAGGGAGCAGGTGGACAGACATGCTCCATCGTGGGTGCTGCAGGGAGTACTATGCCGGTCAACACTCCTCTTAAAAGATGAGGAAGAGTTTCTCCAAGCCCTGGAATGGTCCCAACTCGTTTTATGGGTCCTTTTCCTCACTGCACCAGAAGATGATGAATAACCAGTCTTCCTCTTAGGGGAAACACCAGAATGCAAGCATAAAACAGCATCACTTGCTGGATCTGTAGGCGACCACCGATCAGACAAGGGCCTCAATGCCGAAGCAGGCCTCACAGCCTGCTCCAGAAGGTGCTGCTTCAACCACAAGTTTCTTGCCATCTGAGTCCTCTTTGTGGATGACTTGCAGATGGAGTACCACTCTTTAAGGTGTCCCTCGCTGAGGCACAACAAGAACCTTTATATGGCGGTCACTGTGGAGAATGCCCCTCCACAACATACAGTGCTTGAACCCAGGTGAGGGCACCACACAGGGCAGCCAACTACTCTAACACTAAAACTAAACCTAAAGTACTACAACTACCATATACAGGATAAGTTCTCAGAAAACTGAGACTGAAAGTGTGAGGTGAAGGCACCACACAGAGCTCCGACTCTAGCCGCCGGCAATGAGAAGAAACTGAGGGGGTCAGGGAGACAATGCTCTTATATGGCTCGGGGAGGGGGACTAAGGCCACAGGGCACAAGTGCCACCCCTATAGGTACTAGGGAAAGTTCCCTGGCTCTGGTGCGCTGGATGCACACACATCTACATGAAATATATGGCTGTATCTACTCAGAGAATAGCTGTTTCAAATGCAGGTGCTAATAAATTTTTTCCACAGGCCAAATGCTCCAGTCTCTACTTTACTAGACCCTAATTTTATACTATATCTTTCCCTAAGATGTCTGGATTTTAGCTCAAAGACACAGCACAGAAAAATCTTTTTATGTTTCCATCAGCTTTCAGACCCATATAAGTCAGCTTCATGATCATCTTAGACAAATTCATGCTGGAGCTCAGACTGTCTGTATGTGCAGCTTGAGGGGCAACAGGGCTACATGGAAGAATATTTACTGATTGAAATGACTACCAGTCTCCACCCTAGTATCTTTTTCAACAAATAGAAAGCAACAAAATAAGTCTACAATTATACAATGAACATCAAACCTCACATTTGTGAAGTGAAAATTTCATAGTTTAAATGTTTCTTCATTTGCTTCTTTATGGCATATATTGAGCCATGCTTTTAAATAAAACTATGTTAACTGAATATTGGTAATAATCTGTTCTCAGTGATAAATATTTTATTTTAAAACATATGATAAACGGTCACATTTATTCTATAATTACAATAATTATAACTATATTTGGTTCTAGTTTACAGCTCTGAATAGAGGAAGCAAAACCTATCATGAACCACTTTATACTTTTTAACAAAAGCCATACTCTTTGTTTCCTGAGAGCCCACAAAGTAATATATGACAGGAGTTCTAAGGAATATTTTAGAAAATAGCTTTTTCCTAATGGAGCTGTTGTCCCTGGATACAAGACTTCTACTACACTGATATATGTTAGTATCACCAAAGATTTTAAGGATTTAGTATTTTGTCTTTTTCTATCAACAAATGCACTACACTTTAATTTTAATTTGACATCCTGGCAAGGCCAAATACAAATAATGGTGAATATAACTGTACAGTATTCTGTATATATGCAATAGTAAATTAAAATATGATAAAAGAAAGTTTTTAAAGTTGCAAAGTTGAACACTCAAAAATTAGGAACAGACAGAATTAAGATTATTCATATTACTTTTTTTTTACGAGTCTCTTGCCTCATTCAGTACCCAGCCAATGAATGGACAGTAGGATGGACAGTACCTGGCAAATTAAACAGTTGTTCAACATTTATTTTTACCTCATCATTCAATGTGTGTGAAACTTAGACAGAGAGAGATTAAGGCCAACATTTGCAGAAATGTCCACTAATTTTATATGCCTCAGTGACAGAGTCATCAGACTGGGTTCCCCACTGGTCTGGCCAACCAAAGTCACAAAGCTAGAGCGATGAAGATTTATTGCTGCACTTAGGCAGAACAGAATCCATTACATTCTGAGTATGACAGTGTTTAACAAAGGTTTTCCCTTTCCATATTTGAAAGCAAGCTTACCTCTCTCAATACAGGATCAGTTATTGAACTCAGATTGACTGCTCCTTCATAGGTTAAGTAGTAGAATACATTCAGGGATCGGACAGCCTCTGGCCCTTGCTGTTTGTAGCCAAAAATTAGATCGATCCATTGATGAAGCTGGCATGAAACAAACTCACTCTCCAAGGCCTGCAACAAAATGCAAAATATGTTATCCTGACTTCTGCTATTATTCTTTCTTAAGAAACTTGAATATTCATAAATAGGACATGAAATTATCTTTAGTAGTTCCCCTGCACCAATGCTACTAATATTTTAGAAAGCTGTACAAAAATTTCTAACACTTACAAAAGCATACTAAGGTGGAAAGGATCAGCCATGTAGACCACCTGCCCCACCCCTCAAAGTCCAGATGGGAGAATTGCTCCTCATCCTGTCAATGAAGAGGGCAGGGATAAGACAAACAGTCAGAATGCTCCTGCCCCTCTTTCTGTGGGATGGGGAGGGTGAAAGGATGGTATCTTAGACCAGTTATGACATGTGGACAGAGGGCTGAAAGATTTGGGGAAATTAAAGTAACTGGGGGTGATCAGGTGAAATGCAACTAAGAAGTTCTGTATACCATACATGTTGCATATATGTTAGTTTGCTATTACTTTTGTCTATATATTTATGCTTGTCCAATTTCTGATTGTAATTTTAGGGTATGTTTATGCTGCAATAAAACCTGTGGTTGGCTTGTGTCAGCTGGCTTGGGCTGGGAGGCTATAAAATTGCACTGTAGACATTTGGGATTGGGTTGGAGCTCAAGCTCTGAGAACATCACATCTTGCAGGGTTGCAGAGCCTGGAGCTTCAGCCCAAGCCCAAACGTCTCCACCACAGTTTTACAGCCCTGTAGCCAGAGCCCTGTGAGCTCAAGTCAGCTGGCACAAGCCAGCAACAGGTGTTTAACTGCAGTGTAGCAATACCCTTACTGAACCAGGGGCTGTCTTTTACTATGTGTTTGTATGGTACCAGGTACAACAGGTACCAAATTTTGACTGAGGCCTCCAGGAGCTATAGTAAGACAAATAATAAACAAATTAATAACAACATATTCTTCCATATAACCCAGTTCATATTTAACATACTACTCTAGAACCATATGTTCCCTAAGGCATCAGTTATCAAGTTAAGTTAGAAAACCAAGGACAGCAATTCAGATAACTCTACAAACTAGAAATTTAAAAAAATGTTCAAATGAATTTCCTCTTCTCAAGTTGTTACATGCAGAAGATACTTTGCCAAAATAGTAAGAAAAATGTTAAAAGATTAAGAAAAAATGCATATTACCTATTACATACACAAATGAAATAAACATATCTGATTAAAACACAGCTTAAAGAAACCTGCCATTGGGACAGCATCTAGACACTTGATTGCCTGTGATTGTTCAGATACGCAGGTAACTGCATGTGATTGGCTTGCAGGTCCCAGTTTTGAAGTAAGGGGAGGTAAATCTGCTGGTGATTTCACCTCAGGACATGTGCCAAGAGATTTTCCCATGAGTGCATGGAGAGTAGGTAAGCAGCAACTTCTAAGAAGCTAAGGAAGGTCCATTCACATAGTGGTAGTAGCAGAATATCATCAGACTTCTTTGTTTACTGAATGGATTTTGGGACCATTTCACAATTTCTTATGCTGATCAGAAGATTTATTTGTAACAGACTTAACCAGTGTGTTGCATATTTATGGCTGAGAACCTGTACTCCATGGTCTCCATGCCTCAAGTTTATCACAAAAAGCTCCAACAGAAGTGCAAGACTGGTCATATTAGCATCTCCCTCCCATTTCTGCCTCTGGGTAATCTCCACCTGTTCTCCCTTAGTCTCATACCCAATAAATTCCCTGGTGAATATATAATTATTCACCCCACCACTAGCATTTCTCAGTTAGAATTCAATTAATTTGTAAGATTTCTTCATACACTACTCATCTTTCAAACACACAGGCAAGCCAGATCTCCTTAACATGGAGGCAGGACAAAAGCTGAAAAACCTATTGCAGTTGCTGCCAGTGAACCAACATGCCTTCAAGATATTTGGCTTCTCATTCAAAGGCCAATATTACTCAAAGTAATATCAAAATATTACTTTTTGTCATGTGGAACTTTTGGAGCATTCAGTTTTTTCCTCAAATGGGCAAAGGGCTCACAACAATTCTCTCTCTGTTTCAGATGGAGTGGTTTCAGAAGCTAGCCAGTGGCTGAAAGAGAGAGCCAATCTGATGCCAGAATATTCCCATGGCAATTTGGCAAGAAAGATTTGGTGACTAAGCTGGTTTGTTGCGCCAAGCATTCTGCATAGTTATAGGGAAAGTTTCAATACATTTCTGCATTTCACCTAGACAGAGAGAGAGTTTATCCATTGCCTGTCCCATACCACTGGTATACATTGAGCTGTTCATTTTGGTCTCTAGGTCAGTGCTATTCAAAGTGGTGGTCCGCGGACTGGTGCCGGTCTGTGCGCACATTGGAAAAAAAAACTTGCCGGTCCCCCACATCAGACAGCTTGAGAAGCACTGCTCTAGGTGACAAAATTTGTTCACGCCATCACTGACTTTCACTTGGTGGACACATAATTCTGTGCCCAAAGGACTCCACCATCCAAACCATCTGATGGTTACCTGGTGCAGGCCACAACAAGGCCCTAAATATGTTCAAAAGAGCAAGCTGCTTAATTATCACTGTAGCATCATGTGGATACAAAGGGATATGTAGCAGCTCTCAACTCGCAGCAAGTGGGATGTAGGCAGATAGGTCTGTGTCTCCTGCAGAGAGAAACTTTCTCTTGAGGGATGGAGGCTAGCCTATAAGGGTTGGGTGCAGGCATTTCTCTAAGGGAGATCAAATATGGTACCAATAGCAAGCACCAGCTAGATGGCTGCTGTTTCTGCTCTAGGACTATATAAGATCATAAACTGGGTGGGTGGGTCTCCCTGGAAGGTTTAGCAGATTTGGGTATAAGAAAACTATGAACCCCACCCTCCACCCTCTCTTCACAGCTACCAGGACTTCCAGCTTCTAATCCAGTTAAGTTTAGTAGTAGTACAGTTCAATACTTAAAAATAATGAATTTTTTTGGTTTCTATAAAAAGACAGTGTGCCATTAAAATGTGGACCTTTACCGCTCCTAGTAGTTAAGTTTATCATCATATTCCCCATTCTAAATTTAGGGAATACTGAAATATCATGATACAGTAAAACATTGCAGTGCAGCAAACACCAAGATTTTATCATTGCCCACTGAACACATTCACTTTGGATATACACATACAGAACCATTTTCTGCAGTATGCTGGAAGATTAAAACACTGTTCTGAAAATACGTGGCTAATTCACAAGCCAATATACAGAAAATACACAATTAAATTAACAAAAATGAATCCCTGACCAAGCGAATTAGGTTCAATACATATTCAAAGGTATTACCTAGCATGAATCTACTGTATTTCTAAATATTTAATACAACTACTTTAAATTACTGGCAGGATTTGCTTTATCAATCTCGTGTAGAATTCAATTCAGTTTTATTTTTAATAAGTACAGATAAAACAATACAGAGAAGTACAATATTATTCTATGTGACCTACAGAAACTAAGAGCATTTTTCTTTTAAAGGAAATTCCTAATTTTGAACAGCAGAAGTTAAAATTAATCTGAAAACCTTCGAAACTGCTCTGGCTTTTGTACACAAAATGATGGGTTTGTTTCATTAACCGATGTCTGAAAACAACATTTAAATTGACACATAAAAACAGCCATTGTCTTAATTTGTGTGTTGTACTCCACACAAAAGCCCTAAATATGTTCAAATTAGAGCAAGCTGCTTGATTGTCACTGCAGTCTCATGTCACATTAATGCATGACAAACATTAAACCATACACTTAAATGGCAATTTATATCATTTAAATGTTTACTGCCAGACCAGCTCATCACTCATTTAAATGCGACTTTCTGGCAGCTAATTTCAGTTAATTTTCCTCGATTCACTTAATTAGAACTTTCAATCAAGAAAAGACTGTACATATCTTCCAGTTCTCTTTTTTCTAATTTGAATTCTCAGCTATTGATGTGCTGAAAATATCCTCTAAAATGGATAATCAGATAGTATGTCATGTCCTACCCCCCTCGCCCCCCAAAATGACCACATGGAAAAAACCTTACAATATATATGCTTTGACAAGAGTTATTTATGTAAAAGTAGTTTTAGTTCTCACACACACTCTCCACAATTAAAACTATAAAAAACAGCAACCAAGCAAATTAAAAATTAATGACTTCAAAATTGTTTAATAAGATAAAAATAGTCAAGAGTCTCATGAGTGACCATAGAGCTACAACATGAGGCTATAAAATTCTACAAGGCTCAGCAAATGACAATGATGTGAATTAATTTTCTTGTTATCTTGCCAAAACCTTTTAACATTAGAACATATTTAGTTTCTCTTTTTATCTATTTCATCTTACATAATTTTTGTTTTAAGGGCAAATGATTTTATATGTTCACTATGAAAACTGTGTTTCACTATTTCTGATGAGCAAAAATTCCTAACAGGAATGCAAAGTGAAACATACTATAATGGCCATATTACACCCATAAAACACATGGACATGGATAACTACTGTAATATTGTTCTGCAATCTCTTCAAGTAACCAAACATATAAATCTAAAAAGAAAAGGAGTACTTGTGGCACCTTAGAGACTAACCAATTTATTTGAGCATAAGCTTTCGTGAGCTACAGCTCACTTCACTTCATAGCTCACGAAAGCTTATGCTCAAATGAAGTGAGCTGTAGCTCACGAAAGCTTATGCTCAAATAAACTGGTTAGTCTCTAAGGTGCTACAAGTACTCCTTTTCTTTTTGCGAATACAGACTAACACGGCTGTTACTCTGAAACCTGTCATATAAATCTAACAATCTCTTAAAAATTACAGTCTCACCACTTATTCATGGAACTGCTGGTGGACATCCTGAATTTGCTTCCCTTTTGCAATGTTAAGATAAAAATGTTCTTTTAAGTTACATAGGTTTAGAATGGTAAGAACAGGAAATTAACAATGGAAAGACGATGGAGATTATTTCTTGTATCATTTACACTACTTTAGGGCATTTTTAGCATCTTTGTCCACTTGTCAGGACACA